TCTATGATCTCACTGGATCTCAAGCAAAAAAAAAATCAGATCTATGACTGCTACAGATCTCTAGAAAAATTAAAGAGCTGGATGTGTGATCCCATCAGATCTGAGATCAGGCCCAATGGATCAGATCCAAGATCCATTTTCTCAGATCTATGCACATGTCTGATCCACACCTTTATAGAACATACAGCAGCCATACAGCAAAAGAACAATTGAAAGATTTGGAAACCTTCTTACCCCCAGCCAGGGGGGTACGCTCCGGCTGTTTAGCATTACGAAAAGTGGTGACAGACGTTTGTGGAGGATTGTCGACGAACTCTTGCTCCGCGAGCAGCACTCACGCGCTAGCGGAAAATCCACCAATCAGCGCTCGGCAGTGCTCGACGCTGATTGGCCCGACGCTCGTGACGAAATTGCGGGGGACCGCAGTTATTCTCTATGGACCCGAATAGGCTTTTGGATTTCAGAGGGGTTTCTTTAAGATTATATGCTGTTTCGAGCTGTTTTCGAGTTGAAATATATTTCTTATGACTGTTAGCTATATAATGGCACCATAAAATCATGATTTTAATTAATATTACCGATGTAATATCGGCCGAAAAGACATGCTGTCTTGGCACGGACTGCCCTGCGGCTGATGTGGGGCCTTTAGTGCCAGCGTATGGTAATAATGGGCTGAAGAAGGGTTATTGGAGACTCTTAGAGCCCCACCAGGATTCAGTATAGGGTCATCAGAGGCCGGGAACGTCCATCAGGGGTCTGAGTAGGCCTGCCATAGGGGCATACATGACACATCATGGAACATGGGTCAATCTAGATCCATTAGGGGCCGTTGAAGGGCCATCATTGTTCAGTGTGGGCCCGCAATTACCTCTAATGGGCATGCCGTGCCCCGATGGACTAACGCTGGCCTCCGATAAACCATCACCAGCCCCTGATAGGTCTACAAAGCCCCCTGCTGGGTCTAAATTGGTCACTGATATGCCCAAATGGGTCACTGAGAAACCCGTACAACATCCCCTGACTGCACCTGATGGACCAATGCCGTCCCCTCATGGGCCCACCACGGCTCTTGAATGGCCTCTTCAAGTCCCTGAAGCGCCTTTATTGGCCTAAATGGACCCCTGATTGGCTTATGTTGTCCCTAATGGTCCTATATGGCCCCCATGAGCCCTCAATTCGTCCCGAGACAGCCTTACATTATATGCCACCGGCCCCTGGTAGGCCTGCACTGGACCCACTGGGCCTATACCGACCCATAAAGGGCCCATGTCGAGCCCTCATGGGCCTCCGATGACCACACGCCGACATGTGTGGCCCCATCAGCAGTGGTCCGTCTATCCCATGTACTTACGGTCTTTTTGGCCGATGTGACACCGGTAGTATATAGAAATGTCATAATTAAATGTCGTTATTATATAGTCAAAGGTCACGGAAAGAATATCCAAGCTCAAAAATGGCCTCAAACCCAACAAAAACTGATACAAATCCCCTTCAAAAGTCATAAGTCAATGAAACGCCATAGGGGAGTAGCTGCAGTCCCCCGCAATTTCGTCACGAGCATCGGGCCAATCGGCGTTGAGTATTGCCGAACGCCGATTGGTCGATTTCCGCTAGCTTGTAAATGCTGCTTGCGGATATAGTCTTGAACAAGTGAGGGTCGCGGCAACTAAATATTGCTTGTCACCACTTTTTCTTCGGGAGCGTTCTACCTGGTTTATATAGCCTTGCCCCCAGCTAAGGAGTGCCTGAAGTAAACTAATATGGCTATTACAGATGTTTGGGTACCTAATCTTGTAGCAAGGCATGGCAGGGCAGGTGCTTCCCCCAGTTAGTGAAAAGTTGCTAGATTTACCAGCTCTGGAGATATTAACACAAATTTTGCTGTAAGTTACACATTGGCAGGTTACAGGTTGTAGGTATGTAGGTTGTATGTCATGTTGTAGGATAGTAGGTTGTAAGTTTGAATGTAATGTAAGGTCAGGTTAGGTCACATGTTTTGTTTTAAGACTATATTATGACTATTTGACATGCAAAATTTGTGCACATATCAGTGGGGGAAACTGTGGTCAAATCTTCTATTTTTGGAAGCCTTCCATTTTTGGAAGGACCTTCCATAAATGGGTATGCATTTTCCAAAAATGGAAGGCTTCCAAAATTGGAAGGTCTAATCTCAGTGTTCCCAACTGTGATTCACATTCTTTGATTTAAGTTACGGCCTTTTTAAATGTGTAACATTAATAGTTGATTTTGCCATTTATGATCATTGATATAAGGAGAAGTAGCAGTGCTAGTGTTGGTAATACAGGCATGCTATGTCAATGTACATAGTGATATAATAGCATGGTGTCCTGGCGCACTGCTCTCTTTTTCTACTTCTAGAGGACACATAGAAATTCAGAAGAGAAAACAGCTGGTCAATAACCAACCAGGAGGAACACAGCTATAGCCCTGACAAAAAATGGTTTAAATTAAACTTACTATTCCTCATATAAATTGAAGATTCATGCTCCTTCGATAGAAAGTAACACGAAAAACGGCGCAGCAACGCCTATTTAATTCGTCCCATATTCCGGAAAAAAACATTGAAAAATGACGAGACCTCCACCCAAATGTTTGGCAAAAGCCTTAAAAAATTGAAATCAACCACACAATATGCTAATAAATGCAGAAAACGGCAACAAATACAAGTTTTACTCGCCACTACACTCCCGAAACCGCCGCACTCTGTCCAGACAATTCCGCACTGTAAATAAAGTCGGCGGTATCGAACAAGCATGGCCCGTCACTAAAGTACTTTTAAGGATATTTACTTTTCGTTTTTGATGCTTTTTGCTTACACAATGTTTGATAAAGTCTTATAAAACCATCGTTTGTCGGTAAATTTTTGTCAATTTTCCACGACTCATTACTTTGAAAAATTACCTAAAATACATCCACGCTAGGATTTAGGCATCCACGCTAGATTATGGACACTTCACTATGGCGAATAGAAAGCGACCAGGGGCGATAGTCGCATTTGCCTCATGTTCGGCGGAAATCGGTAAGTTCCAACATATGCGCAACATTTTCTATATTTGGGTACGATGACGTCGTCAGCGTACCCATTTTTGGAAGGTGCGTACCCATATATAGAAAATCCTTCCAAAAATGGAAGGCTTTCTAAAAATGGAAGATTTGACCACAGTTTCCCCGACTGATATATTTTAAGAGCTGGCAAATCTAGCTACTTTGGCTAGGGTGGCAGTGGCACCGCCTATGATGCCTGGTATAACATGAACATTACCAATAATGTTGAGGACTGTGGTCAGGTCACACACATGGCCATAGTCCTGCAGCCGGTTCGCGTTGGCGCACTAAGGCCCTAGTGCCACTTGATTTCAAGTCTCACTAGGCGATTTCGATTCGCGCTGAGCCACTAGCCGATTGGTATAAAATGCCGCTTAGTGTCACTACCTTCAAGTGTCACTTGGCCGCCTAGTCTTACTAGCTTCCTAGTGCGCCATCTCGAATCGATCCCTGACTCCTCCTGACTCAGGTTTGGAGTGTGGACCAAAGCCATTTGTGAAATTTGTTATATAGACTGTTGGTTGGTTTATGGTAATTGGAAGGTGAATTGATTCAAAATGAAAGATATTATAAATGAGATGTGTGCATGGGTTTGCTGAAACGTTAGTACGAAGTAACTGGATGGATCTGAGTGATGGATCTATGATCTCTGTGGACCCCACAGCAAACTGCATGCTAGCATCCATGATTCTGCCAGATCCAGCTTGAAAAATTTATCCTGGATCAGGATCTATGATTCATAGGATAAGGATGATAAACCAAGAGCATGGATCTATGATCTGAGCAGATCCCACCATGCACAACATTTGTGATTTTGAACCAGGTTTCCAAGTGTTGCTAAGTTAATAAGTTCCACAAAACTTTTGATTATGTTGTATTATGTTGTGCAATCACACAAAATCATTAAAACAAAATGTTTGTGAAATGCAAAGTGATTTTTTGAGGTTTCTGTTTCTGTTGACAAAAATAAATGAGGGTCTATGATCTCCATGGAGCTCGAGCAAAAAATACTCTGATCTATGATCCCTATGGATCTCTTGACAAATCAAAGAGCTGGATCTATGATCCTGATAAATCCAAGATCCATCCAAGATGGATCAGGATCCTGCTCTGTGGGATCATACCCCAATCCATTTTCTCGGATCCATGCACATGTCTAATATGGGCGTGTTAGACTGTAAGTAGAGGATAATTTATGACGCCATTTAAACAGACTGACAAAAACATTTCAAAAGGAACACAACTCAATCCCATACACCTAATGCGGCGAGGGGGCAAACTTCAAATTAAAGGAAGGTACCCGCCCCGACAAATAAGCAGTGCAAATGAGGGTCATGCAAAGAAAACACCGATGCATTTTTTGGTCCAACAATTACCTTTAAAATAACGCTGTAAGGATCCAATTACAAAGCCACACCCCTCACACAATTCGCACGAAACACACACAAATCACAACACACAAACGGCCATCGAATTTTCACGGCAGAGAGGCGGCTTGCGACTAGAGCAGTAAGTACCCAACTCTCCTGATCGCTGCCGCTAAGTACTTGAATCACCTAAAATGAAATTTTCGTAATTTTATCGATTTCATAATTTACAGGAGTGTTTATTGGTATGCTTCATTTGTTGTTTTGGTTGAAAAATCTACGATTAAGGTCTTGTATCAATAAATTGCATAAATATAGCTTTCTACTAACAAGAGTGAACCATTTCGCGGTACTTGCCACCTCTATATAGCATACATATTTAAAGGTGCTCCTCATCCAGCAGTTATTGCTCTAACAAAAACGTTATTTTCACTGAAATACACAAGTATGGGCATTAAATTAAGTATAATTCCCAAGAATGTGTTCTTTGCACTTCTTTTGTTGTTTTGGGTTATATAGACTAGTAGTAGAAAAATATCTGCGAAGATAATCATACTAGATAAATTATTTGATTTATTTATTCCTAGTTATTTATTCCTTAGCTAGGAAAAGTGACCTTTTTAATTTTTGTAATTTGATAAATGAAACATTATGAAATAACTGTGAATCAACAAATGCCTTTTAATTCTTTATTTCACAGGTCTTCACTGCAAAGTATGTTATAATTTTCGGCAACGGTGCGCTTCCTTTTCATGGTCGGCGACAGCGTTCTGTCGTCGATAGTGCTGTGTTGGATGTGAAATTGCGGATTTTCCGACAAATCGGTGTCTTTAAACATGACTGACACTCACGAAACCCTTCACCTGAAGGGTGTCCTGGAGGGACACAATGGATGGGTCACCCAGATCGCCTCCAACCCGAAATATCCGGACATGATTCTGTCGTCATCTCGAGGTGAGCAACTGTTTTTGTTGATTTTCTCACATTCACCTTGCTTTGGCCTGCTATTTTGTGCATTTTCTGATGCTCAAAAATCTAGCTGCACCTCTCAATTGTTTGAGGTTGAGCAGCTTATTCTGTGGTTGTAATGTGCAGGGTACGAGGTGGTGCGAATTGTGAAGTGAGCTTTCGAACTTGGATAAACCAGTTGATTCCTGTGTTGTGGGTTTCACACTTAGTGTGGGTTGGGGAGGCGAATGGGTTTGGGTGAAACTTGATGAATGCACTAATCATCATGGCATTCAGATCAATTGTTTGAGACTGATAAACTGTAGATATGGGCGCAAAATGACCTTGTAGTTGGCGTGTCCTTAAGTCCCAATAAACAAACGATCAACTGTAGATTAGCACAGATGTGACATGCATGTTTGTGTGACAAAGTGTTTTCTGTTGGGGGGTATGACATGAAAGCTTTGAATTTACAGTTTGTGTTTTCTTAATTGGGATCATTTTAGCAGTGCCTGACTGCCTTTAACCATTAAGTCAAAGGCACTTGGAGTGATTGTAATGCTTTCAGAGTAACTATGTACTTAAGTCAAATTTTTCTGGTAGATACTAAGGAAAAGGAATGTGTGAGGATAGTTACATCATATGTTACATTTTACCACACCTGCACATAAACTACTTACTGCACATAAATTATAAATTACTTACTACTATACTGCACATAAATTGATCCTTTATATCAGGGACATGGGTGGAGAATGTTTGAAAAAGTTACCCCGGCCGGTGACCGAAAGTCAGAAAGACGATGATGCTCAAATATTTGTCAACGGTTATAAACAAACCCCTATTCTGTGACATGGAATAATGGATGTCTGCCGTTTTTATCTTCTTTTTTTGGAAACGTGCTGCACGCAGGTGCGCAAAATTTCGTAATTATAACAATTTTGCAACACGCCTTAACCCGCGCCGGCCCGGTGCTCCGCGACTTCCGCGCCGGGCCGGGGGGGGGTGTCTGAACACCCCTCCCCCGTCTAACTCTGCTCCTGAGCCACGTAGCGACACGCAGTAAGCGGCATTCGAAAAAGCGTCAAAAATAATGACGGAAACACTTCAGTCATTTTTTGGTTCAGGTCAAAGGTCAGGTCGCCAGAGGTCATCAAAGGTCAAATGTAGGCCATTTCAACAACTTTGGAAACTGCCAACGACTATCTCGGGAACCAATAGAGCTACAGCGCCGCGGAAAGCGCATTCGATAGCCCTTTTACAGGCCTTTCTGAATATTGCTCTCAGATTTGACCTCAGGTCAATGGTTTAGCCTCCAGAGAGCAAAAACTGTAAAAATAGCTGTTTTCACCAAAAACATTTTCGGTAATAACTTTTGATTCAAGCAAGCCATGACATTACTTTTACCTCTCGTCGAGACGCGTCGAATGAACTATTCGCTGACCTTGAAAGGTCAGTTTGAAAATTTGACCTCAGGTCAAGGTCATGACCTGACCGGAAAGGGTCATGCTGCATATCGGTCGATCCATACCGTCGAGCTGAATACATCTGACGTGTTTTCATCGCTCTAGCACGTCTCTATCAAAAGTTAAAGCCAAAAAACTTATCTGGTGTTCGTTCATGACCCGAGATGACCTCAGGGATACACAGAGGGATCACAGGTGCATTTTTCCGATTCAGTGTGTCATGTTTACCCATGAACCAATGTTTGAGAGGGTTTTGAACACAATTCGTCCACAAGAGGCGCATTTCAATTTTAGTTAGAAGGAGCGTGAAACGCCCACGGCTCTCGACTCAACGTGTTACGATAGGGCCACCACCCTGGCGCGGGTTAAGTTGGGGGGAGCCTTGAACCCCAGCAGCTCGTCCTTCCATCTCACTGATGTTACCCTCGTCCTGTCTTGTGATGTGCATCTTTCGATAATGGCCCTTAAATATGATTTAACCCTCGCATGTGTGCGGCGTTTGCCAGCTTCTAATGTGTAGGGGGGGGGGGGTCGGTTGGACCCCCCCCTTGCCGTTTGGCCCCTGATCGAGCTAGAGCTTCGCGGAAAAAACGAGCGTGTTGCCCGTGACGAGAGGAAGCCGATGATACCCAATTTTAAGGTCCTAGGTCATTGGTTGACCTTCCAGGTCAGGTCAATGACCCAAAGTCGGGAAAATCGGGACCTGTTAGAAAGTCGTAAAGTGTGGCTGCTAAGGGGTTTTTCGGGGTGCTGATTACGAATATCGTGTTAGTTTTGATCACAGATGATGTCTTGAAGCATTTAGACCAGGTCGGGTCAGGTCAGGTCAGGTCAACCAGTAGGCGTCGTGACGGGTATTCGTAGTACGTGTCAACCGCCTCTGACAGCTTCGTAACATGTTACGAAGTCACCAAAACTACTTCGTAAATGTTCAAATGGTTGCTAAATTCGAATTCAGCTCCAAAAACTAGCCTAGAAACATGTAAAACTCGAAAAAGTGACCCGAGGTCACCCGAGGTCACCAAAGGTCAATGACCTGACCTGACCTTCAGGTGACCTTGACACACACGGGAGTAACATCAAATCACATGTTTGAACGTTTGAAACCACGAGAAGCTTGCAAACACGCGGCTAGTGCGAGCCGACATACGCGAAATCGCGATTCCGGCCAAACATGGTCTCGGAAAAGAGGTCACAGGTCAAAGGTCATTTGGGTCAGGGTCATGAAATTTTCAGGGTAGGTGTAAAATTGATCAATGCGAGGGTACTGAAAGTTTCGTCGCGATCGGCCGCTTTTTACGCGAGTTATTCGCGAAAAACCATGGGGGGGTCCATCCGACCCCCCCCCCTACACATGCGAGGGTTAATTATGTTAGATGCAACTTGTCGGGCTCCGCGATGAAAAGATTTGTGAACATAGAAGCTGCAAAATGAAAACAAAGTAAATTTTCAAAAGCTTTTCAAGGTAGATAAGAATAATGAAAGACACTTGTATGTGGCAGTTTTTTTCGTATGCAGACAGCTTTTAGGATTTACAAAAGTGGAAAAAGTTACCCCGGCCGCGCCGGGGTGGGCTGAAAGTTACCCCGGCCACGGCCGGGGTGGCCGGGGCAGGTTCTCCACCCATGATCAGGGATCCATACTATGGATCCAATGCATCAAGGTTATGGACCCTTTTCTACTTTTTTGGGCCTTGTATGACTGGCAGGTTTGCATCTCATCCCTTTTTAGTTTTTGGTGATAAATTTTACCAATGCCACCCAAACAAAGATACAATTTTGAGACACTACTGCAGTTTTCACTTTGGCCAAGCTGATGGTTGTTAATGACACCCTCTTGATCAGCTGCTTAAGTTTGTGACAGTGATGGACATGGAGTGAAGGCCTGTGCATTTTTGGGGCCAGAGTTCATGGGAACATTTAGCTAGATGGCCTGAATCCTTAATTAATGTGGTGCAAATTATTGTCTATAATGCCCAGAAGTGGGGATGCTAGGAGCCAGACATGTGCATGGATCTGGGTAATGGATCTATGATATAGTAGATCTCTGAGCAAACAAGCAATGATCTATGGCTCCTCTGGATCTCACATGGAAAATGTATCCTGGATCTATGATCAAAGGATCTGATGTCAAATCAAGAACAGGATCTATGATCCAATTTGATCCCACTGGCCACCATCCACAACCCATGAAACCATGTTTTCATGTGGTTTCATGTCAAAAAGTGTCACAAAGCTATAAATTATGTGTAATAACATACCTGAAACAGAACCTTACAAGTGAATCGCAGGAAGTGTTCATTGAGTGTTTTTTGTCAACAAAAATTAAGTGAAGATATATGATCTCACCAGATCTCTAGGCAACAATACATTTGGATATCAAAATTCTGAGATATACAAATTGTTGGTACTATGCCCTCATCCAATATCCTTAGATTTAAAGTCATGGAATATAGATTGTGGGAATGACAACATCACAAAGTTTTTAGAGGTATGGTCTGGTGACTTAATCTGGTAACCTGACTTTTTTATAAGCTTAGTCCAAGCCTTGAATGGAAGGATTCACAAGCACAGAGCCCCCGCTAAGCGAAGCTTGTTGCATTGACCCTGCCCTCTACCCTCTGATCGCGCAATTCCGGTTCTATGGCAGAGTTTGGAGTGTAAAGTTTAACGTGCGCACATAGCCGCGCACGGCCGTTCCCCCACTGACTTCGCCTGGCTACGGCCTACCACCAACCGCAACATACCTGTCATGAGGCTCATAAATGTCAAGCGCCTGTCGCGCTTCGAACTGGGACTGTTATAACTGGGAACGTGTGCTCTCACCATGCGGAGCCCAACGCTGTACCGACTGAGCTACGGGACCGTGACCTAAGGTCAAACACTTCACACGCGATGTGAAATTGATGTATCATAAACCATACAAAGTTTTGCGGCGCTCTGCGACGCGGTTTTCTTTACATACGAAAAAATGGTAGGTGTGGCCAAAAACGCCCCTCCCCCTCCCATCTGTGCGAAGGTAGCTTACGCACACATTTGTAGAACTTGTTATTTCTACATGAATAGCGACAAGTATCCATGCATTACGGCTAACCAGCAATACTGTCAGTCATAGCATGCATCCATTGTCAGTGGAAAGGTTACCCAATATCCTAAAACGGTTTCCGACAAATACGAGTATGCAGTGGCATTTGAAAGAAATCGATCAGAAACTGCCCAGCAGAACGAAGCAGCAGAGACTCTATGTAGATGGTCACAACGACGACCCAACATCTTACATTTTACTGTGGTTTCTGGAATACTAGCCTTAGATTGCATTGACGAGGCTTCCAGCTTATAGTGCAATCAGTGCTTCTGACTGCATGCTCCTTAGTCTTACTCTTGCCATGTGTCTGTGCGGAAAGCCTGCTTTCTTCTGAATCTGACGTGTGCCGCCCCTGGTGTTCTCTGCAGACAAGTCCCTGATCATGTGGAAGCTGACGCGTGACGAGCACTGCTACGGCATGCCGCAGAAGCGCCTGCAGGGTCACAGCCACTTCATCACCGACGTGGTGATGTCCTCGGACGGCAACTACGCTCTGTCCGGCTCCTGGGACAAGACGCTGCGCCTGTGGGACCTGCAGAGCGGATCCACCACCCGCAGGTGACTGGGAGGTGGGAGACGGGGGCGCTGCAAATGATCATTATGCTCTCGTAATGTGTTCGAAATGATTGGGTTGATGTATAATGCTGACGTCATGTGCTCGAAATGATAGTATAAAATGTATGGAATTAGGTTGTTGGTTAGCTCTAAATTGGGCGTCAATAACGTCTGTGGTCTGGGTGCCTAAAACAGCCATTATTTTTTCCTCAAACATACCCCATTATTTTTCGCTGCAATAACATTGAACAACACGTAGCTCAAAGCCTACATTTATCATCATTTGTTACCCATAAACGGTAGGAATGGATGTGGTGCCGGGCTTTGCTGTTTTTCTTTCATTTACTGCACCTTAGTAGACAGATTCATTGCCTTTGTAAATGAATTTGGTGGATTCTGGTGCTAGATTATGATTCATGGCTCCAAGGCTGGCGAACTTACCTGGTTTGTCCGCCTGTTGGCCGTGCAACAAAGCATAGTTGATCAATATCAGTGGCATGCTAGTGATGTTTCAACCACTGATTCAAGCATCAATCCAATAGTGGCGTTTTAGCCTTTGGAGAATGTTAGCTAGTGGTTCAGCTGGACATACCTTGTCTGAATATCAACCATGTGTCTTGCAGTTTCAAGAATCATTCCACCAACATGTTTTCTGACCCCCCCCCCCCCCTCTGACTCGAGGGGCGTGCTCAAAAATTTTACCCGTCCCGGCCACTCGCAGGTTTGAAGCCTTTCGAAGGATGTGCTTCTGAGTTTTAACTGTCCATCTTCCCCCTCTGGCAGGTTCGAGGGCCACTCCAAGGATGTTCTGTCCGTCGCCTTCTCGGCCGACAACCGTCAGATCATCTCGGGCTCTCGGGACAAGACGGTGAAGCTGTGGAACACGCTGGCCGACTGCAAGTACACCATCCAGGACGATGGTCACTCGGACTGGGTCAGCTGCGTCCGCTTCAGTCCCAGCACCACCAACCCGCTCATCGTCAGCGCCGGATGGGACAAAATGGTCAAGGTGAGAAAATTGGGGGAGTGAGTGAAAGAAAGAAAGATGGGAAAGGGAGGAGGAAGGCAGGGAGACCCGCGAATTGTCAGGGCGGGTTGGGACAAAATGGTCAAGGTGAGAGTGAGGGAGGATGGAGAAGGAGAGAGAGAGGGGATGGAGAGGTAGAGGAATTAGGGAGGGAGGTAGAGAAGGAGAGAGACCCGAGAATTAGCGCCGGCTGGGACAAAATGGTCAAAGAAGAAGCGTGAGGGAGAAGGGGGTAGCGGAGGATAGCTGGAGTAGGGTATGTGAAGTAAAATGGAAAAAAGTGTTTGTGGCCGACCGATTTCGAACAGGTAATTGAGTTTGTGAAGTGGGACAAAACTATGGGCTGAGATGCGGTTTGTTAGTAAACAAGCATCCGTGTCTCCCTGTGTAGACCCTACTGCGTCAGTTCCGTCGATGTGAGTTCTTGACGCTATCGATTTTATCGCTACCAGCCACTAATGATCAGTGGTTCTGACTTGTTTATTCCTGATTGTCATCTGTCCCGTTTTTTTTTATAATATCACACCGTGTCATTGCGCGTCATTGTCTACAGACTCCCGAATATTGTATCCTTCTCAGGCAATAAGCTAGCTGCACTGATTTCCATTTTTCCTCGACGACAGGTGTGGAACCTGGCTAACTGCAAGCTGAAGACGAACCACGGCGGCCACCACGGCTACCTCAACACCATCACCATCTCGCCCGATGGCTCCCTCTGCGCCTCCGGCGGAAAGGTACGGCACTTCGGGGCGGTTTCTATGGGGAAAAGGGGTGGGAGTGAACAAGAGAGGGGTGGTGGTAGGGGAGGAACTGCGCGAGTTCAGCTGCTGCGGTGGCTCTTGGTCCGCCGCCGTTTGGACATTTGGTGGTGATGAAAGTGGGCACATGAGAGGCAAACAGGGCATGGCCGCCCGTCGTTATTATTGTAAACCACGGTAGTATACTCTGTCGTTAACAGGCAATTATGGGACTTTATTTATCTGTTATTAGTTCATTGAGTGTCTTTGAAGCTCAGTCCACCAAGGTCCCAAGTTCACTGGCCTCATCATGATCGAAAATGAATGCCAGAATTACGCGCAATCGCTCCTACGCTGAGGGCTAGCCTTCCCTCGCTTTGTCTACTCGCACCCCAGTAGACGGGTCCGGCGTCGCCCGGTGGCCGGACCCGGTGGTCACAGGGTGCCAGAGCGACAGACCGGCGCGGCTCCAGGGTCACCGGGCCGACCACTGGCCCGACGGCTTAGTTAGCCGCGCCACACGAGCATATTGGGTTTCTTGGGTCATGGGTGGTGGCTGTAACTTTGTATTCGTGGCTCCACAAGCCATTCAGTCGTTCTGCTCGTCTTTGGTCGATTGTCGATAAATTAAGCAGTGATTAGGGGGCGAGGTGATTGTCAGATTTGCTTATTATACATAGATATATAGATATGCTTTAGATTATATAGATAGATTATATAGATATGCTTTAGATTATATAGATAGATTATATAGATATGCTTATTATATGCTTAAAATACGACGTATGTCGTATTTCATAGACTTACAGCAGCTGATGAGCTCAGGTTCATTGCTTTGTATAGCAGTTAGCACGCAACATTATTGTCATTGAATGATTCAGAGGCCCTAACCCTCTTACCCCATCTTTTCAAGCTCTGATCTGACTTTTGTCATCGATATCTGTTATTTACCCCCCTCTAACCGCTATGTGACTCGATATCCCTCCTCCTTTCAGGACGCCCGCGCCATGCTGTGGGACCTGAACGACGGCAAGCACCTGTACACGCTGGACCACACGGAGACCATCAACTCGCTGGTGTTCTCCCCGAACCGCTACTGGCTCTGCGCCGCCACCGGGCCCTCCGTCCGCATCTGGGTACGTAACCCGGTGGGGGAGGGAATCTCTGGGGGAGAAAGATTAATGTTTTCGCTCATACATTTTGGGCACGAGTCGAAATGTTGTCATAGAGAGACTGCTGTAAGAGAGGCGACGTTCATTTGCAGCTACATGCATAGGGAAGGACAGCAGTAAAATCTTTCAAACTGAGGATTTGACAGCTAGCAATACAGAGAGACGAGCATACTCTCTAAAATATATGTTGACAGTTTGTTCATGTTTGGGTCTGAAAGAGATAGTCCACGTCAGTGCACCCGAGTAGACAGATTCATTGTATCTGTAGATGAATTTGGTGGAAAGTGGTGCTATAGTGACAGCATAGCTCCAAGGCCGGCGGGCCGACCCACGGGCCCACCGGCCTGTTAGCTATGCGATAATGCAGTGTGTTACTGCGAGACAAGGCCCAAAACATCAGCCTTTAGTCAGGAAAAGGTGTTGTTGGGTGTTGTGCTGGGGTCACTTAAAAGCTAGATAGAAACCATCCTTTATCAACCACACACCACCCCTGTCTTCAAGCGTCTTCGTCTTCAGTCGCCAGCGGACAGCTTTTGTTGCCTGCTTGAAAGCAGGCTATCAGAGAGATATCACAATTACCTTCCATTATCCGTCTCCTAAATTTACCGCGACTTCAGCTTATCAGTCACCAGCGTGTCGTTGACCTCCACCACCCAATCATCAGTAATGGGCGCCGGTGACTTCTGAGGTCCGGGCGCCCTTAAATCGCAAATCATCATGATCATCAACCACGACTGACCACCCTGTCCTCCCTCTCTTGCAGGACCTGGAAGGCAAGCAGATGGTGGAGGAGCTGAAGCCGGAGGTGGTGAACCGCTCGGCTAAGGGCGACCTGCCCCAGTGTCTGTCGCTGGCCTGGTCGGGAGACGGCCAGACCCTGTTCGCCGGCTACTCGGACAACAAGATCCGCGTCTGGCAGGTCTCCATTACGTCCAGATAGGCGCCGAGGAGACCCTGTGTCACCACCAACGGGACAGACAGAGAGATATTGCCAATACACGACACCCAGACACAGAGAATGACACCGGCGGGCGGACGGCGCGGCGGGCCTGGACGAAACGGGGGAGGCTGGTCCGATTTGGCTGGTTTGTGAAGCCCTAGTGGTGCCGGTCCCAGTTTGGACTGGTTTGGGTTTGGCTTTGTATGTGAAATGATTTTTATGTGGTCATTTTGAAGCGTGTAGTGTCCTAACAAATTCGTTTCGATTCTTTGCAAATTTCTTGTTTGGATAATTGTTATTGCTCAAACCTGTAAGGACAAAATGTTCATGAAAGACACCGAATATCATGGAATGCTGAATCGCAAGGAATTTTTGGTAGTAGGTTTCTGGAAAATCTTTCAAAATTCGTCCATGTGAAAAACAGCGAGTGTAGTAAGTCACCTTTCAGTGTGTTACTTCCAGTCGTCCAGTCTATATATATATATATATATATATATATATATATATATATATATATATATATATATATATATATATATATATATATATATATATATATATATATATATATATATATATATATATATTCCCGTACGAGATCGTCCACGCTGGTCCGCCGTCCGCCCCTCTTTTTGTAGTGTGTTCAATATGCCACCGATTATGGTCATGTGTGAAGAATCGAAAACTCCCGAGATGGCTGATAATGAGCCAACAGAGGGCGCCGAAACAGGTGAGATATCCATTGTTGTATGATATCGAGTGTGTGCTCCATGTGATTTTCTCTACTTGTGTTTACTGTTCTGTTCGGTATATTTTCTTGTGTTTTTGTGTTTCTTTTCGGTCTAGTAGTTCCACGTCCCACAGAATGATCCCGTTTTATCCGTCTAGCTTTAAGCTCCGTTTGCGACCCAATGCCCTCCCAGCCAGCACACCCAAGTGGGTCCCATATGGGTTCGATATGGGCAGTCCATGTGAGTCCCAGTGGGTTTCGTCACACGGCTCCATCTGGGTCCCATGTGGGACAGCTCGGATAGGTAGGTCCCACATGGGACCCGGTTAGAGCCGTATGAAAAAAAAAAACACGGGGAGCCCACATGGGCTGCCCATATCGGACCCCCTTGGGTGTGCTGGTTGGCTGGGATATCAGATTACAGATATGAATGATTATTATTTTCATATCAAACTATTATTTTCATATCAAAGGTTGCTGAAACTGCTGACCCTCTCTTTTGCTCGTACCTGAAAGTTTCCACGTTTCAAAGCGCCCTGAATATTTTAACCGCTAACCGGTATGACCTAAATCCTGATTTATCAGCTTTGAGGATTCGCCGAACCCCTGTCATGCCTCACGTGGACGGCAGGGTTGGCTTGTGCTGCCACCTGTCGGCGCTGCACGCGGCTGGCGTTCGCTCATCCGTCACCAGGTGGTGTTCGTGGCGCTGCCCACGTGACATGACGTCACATCCGCTGTCGGCTCTCGACCAATGAGCGGCCGGCGTCGGGCGCGGCTCGGCGGCGAGACGCCAGCGTCGGTCTCATTTCTTCCGGTGGCGTCCGAGCAGGTGGGTGGTGTGGCAGATATGGCGCCCACGTGGCCAGAGAAAGTTGTTCGTGCTGGTTATTGGATATTTGTGTGGTGTAATTATATTATACGCAATGCGCTGTGTCGTTATGGCTTATGAGGACTTCAGTTTTACCGGAACGTTTTACTAAAGCTATTTCTGGGCTTTCCGCTGTGTTTGATGGGTTGCAATGGTATTGTTCCAGTAGTTCAAGTATTGGTTGTTCCTAGTTGTGTTGGACTGCTTTCTGTGCTGAGTGGTTTCTAGCCAGAATTGAAAGTGAGATATGGGTAAAGGATGAGTGATAGGTCGGACATGAAAATAATTGAAATGTGAGATGAAAGGACAGGGAGCTGGTATCCCCTGGTCGCCCTAAACGTCACCGTGTTTCTAAACTTGTTCGCTTTGCCTTTCTTTCGTCGCATTTGTTCTCTGTAAATACTGTCGCGATTTTCCGTTCGCCTCAACAATCGCTACGTAAATCATCGACAACATTTTTCTTGGTGCGGACTGAGCGAACCATGACGTGGACAAATTCAATCTCATGTGAAGGTAGCTTTTAACATAAGGAAATATTGCAGTGTGGTAAATGCTGCAGTGATATACGGGAGGTGTTGCCTCCCGTATGTTGCATAATGATTTTATTCTGTCGTAGAATAAAATCATTATGATGCTCCGCAACCGCGGCCGCAGTATAAAGCTCATTTTTCACGTATGCAAACCGTGGTTTTGACACACGATCGCGTATGTCAGTTTGCCGACCCTTTATGTTCGATATTTTGTACGTAATTTTTGTCCGTACAACCGCATTGGTTACTCTCCCACTAACTCCCTGGCACCTCATTTTCACACATCCGAGTAACATGCAATTACTGAAGCATGGAAACCGGATGACCTCTCCCATGGCCGTCATCCCCCCCCCCCCCCGGGCGACGCAGCCCTAGGACCGCGGCACTCCCAACGACCGGCTGCCGATATGTCTGGCTCACATCGATCCGTGTCGGCATATCGGCTTCGGATCGCCGGCTTGGTTGGGGATTTACCACATTGGTTAAATCGCTAAGGAGGCAGTCTGCTGTGCAGCGCTTTCTAGCCAAGTGTCGGCAGTGTTAGGTCACATCCGTATAACGGAAAGGACAGATGCCCAGCTGCGCGGAGGTCGTTAACCCCCTATGTGAGCGTCTGGGCCGAGTGGCACGGGGGCGATCCTCTGGGGAGGGTTATGTATTCGGTGAGGGGGAGGTAAGATGAGAGGCACGTGGTCTCCAATGGTGTTGAAATGGATAAGTATTTGGGGTCGAAGGTGTGCGCAGTCGATGTTTCCGAAGATTTCCTGGTGAATAATTACAATCGAAACCAGGCTGGTGTTAGACTTGTTTTGCGGAGATAACATTTCCGCACACAAGATTGATCGTGGAATCGCCTTTTTTGTTACTCAAACTTTAAGATACTTTAAACGGGTGTCTGACAACTGCATTTCTCTTTTGCAGGAAATTGCGCGATAAACTCTCGGCTTGGCAATACATCACATTTCAAAGGTATGTCTAGATTTGTGTTGCAATGATGTGTTTTTCCCCATGACATGATGTCTGATTAGAGTTTCTGAATCTTTTTGACGAACACCTTAGCTGAACAGTGTTATTCACATCAAAGGTTTTGGTGTGGTGGGTATCTTCTAATATGTACTCTTCTTTTTCAGTTTATCTTGCTGGACTGCTCAAGACAAGAGCTGCTGTCATGATTGAAATGTAAGTAGTAGTTACATTCTGACGAGTGTATTTTTGTGATTAGGTACACAGTGACATCTTCTGTTGGACTTATCTGATATGATGCTGATTTCTGACACCTCTTCTGAAGTGTATGCTGAAATTGCTAGGGAGCACTTACTGATATTTTCACCTGAAATGTACACTTTCCATGTCTGCCATGGTCTTCATTTGTATTTATCTTTTCAGTTACTGGATGCCACTGATGTCTGTGATGCTGGCTTCTGTGAGAAACAAGTCTCCTGGCCCTATAACAGAGGTCAGTAATTGTGTTGTGGTACAAAGATGTCCTTGCTGATCACTGTAAATGATGGGATTTCTGACACCTCTTCTGAACACCTTGCTGAAAAGGCTTGATAGCATTTGCTGATACTGCCGATTTGTGCTAGTAATGCACTGTGGGAGATAGCATAACTGACATGGTGTGTGACTTGTCCACAGGAATGCAAGAGGATATTCATCAAGAATCAGATTACAGTGGATAAAGAGCTGAAGGTAATTATGACATCTTATATCCATTTGAATTTGCTTTTTACAGGATGATCTCATTTTGCATAGGCAGCTTTTGTTGTCACTGTTGAATTTGATAGTAGAACTGATGTACCTATCATGTATGCTTTGGTTGAATTTTATTTCGTAAACTTAGCCTTATGCCTATTTTTCACAGAACTTACCTACCTAATCAAAACAGCTAGAACTGAACTATGGGCAACCTGAGAGGAATATTTGAAGGTAAGTATTTGTCTAGCTTTCAAGTGCTACCTTTCACTTTTCCTTCATTTCTTCTGATGAAAATTTGTGGGAATCTCTTTGATCATGCGTGAAAACACCATAACACAGCTGATATGTGTGAAAGATCAAAACTGAGCAAGAAAAATATTTAATGCCATAACCATCCTCTTTTCCCTAGGTATACTGGAGCGCACCATGATGACAATGTGATATCATGGGATATAGGTAAGTCCTGTTGCAATGGTATTTATACTGGATGTCACACTTCTTGTGATGAGTAGATTGGTCTTTCTGAACTACATTGTAGTCGTGTTGCTGCTTAACCTCTTCTGATTCCCTGATCATATTTTAAAGATGTCTTGCTATTTTCTGGTAATTCACTGTGCTGTGAACCTTTCAGATCTCTAAGGAGCTGGTCTTGTCAATGATTGACAGACTGGTTGAACTACATGGGTCATGTGGATCTGGCTGCCTGCCAAGGTAAGCGATGCTGGTTGATCAAGTTTATGCAAAGAATCCAATTGCGTGATGTTGTTACTAGATAGTATCTGAATATGCTTTGATCAGAACCACTTGCTGATTTGAGTCTCCAATTCTTATTTTTAGTCTTTCCCGAGTATATTAATTTAATGATCATATCCCCTTTTCACAGGTCAGATTCCTGACAGCAAGACTTCGTGAATATGCAAGGATCGCGTTCAGTCAGGTAAGGGCTAGCTGAGACCAAGCATAAGTGCTCAAGGCAAAAGTGCTTACAATTGACTTAAATGTGATGACTTCCTGTCGATGTCTGAATCTAAAGAAGACAAAAATACAGACTGATTTATTGTTTCATGGCCAGTTCCGTATTTTGGAAGTTGTCGCATCCTAATGTTTGTATTTTATTTGCAGGTCTTGTGTGTTGACTGCTGCTTTGCACCAGCTTTGACTGCTCGAGGTGAGATCTGTTGATATGCTTATCCTATTTGCCTTTATTTTGTTATTACCGATGCGCGCGGACTGTCCTTCGCCGGTCCGCGCCGTGGCCCCGGAGCTGTCTATCCAATGCAGTATGTTCCCCGCCACAGCATCGAACAGCAACTCTGTCCCCGGGCCGGGGCCGGTCCCCGACCCGGCGTGGGCAGTCGGTACGCATTCTCCAGTGTCTCGCTGTAGTGGTGCCGCCACCAGGACAGTCGAGAAAGACCATGCGGGCCACAAACTTGAGAAATGTTTCCTTTTCACTTAGTGTCTTCTAGCTTTTCTTCTCATATTGATGTGGCGCTGAAGTCTGTTGCTACGTTGATTGATTTAAATGTGTTCACCAATTAGTGGCTAATGCATAGTTAGTTTTTCACAAGGCTCACTGTTGACATTTTTGTTGCAGATCATGGCACATCCGTGGACGGCGTTGTCTCTACCTGTTGTCACTCCTAAGCCGTGTTCAACCAAATTTCCAGTCCCAGGTACGTTTATCTGTGATACATCACTGATCAATGCCCAATTAAAGTGATGATTGTTCATTTCACAGACCTGTTCTGAGTTAGCTATGCTGAGCCTAGAACGGCCATCTGAGGAGTCGGTTTCATGAGAGAATTATCTCGCTTGTGCCCGGTCTTCATTCCATGTTTGTTATCTTTCAGGACGCTGAAAGTACACTTCTTCCATCGGTGCAACTCTCGTCACCCGATGACTGATACGAGCCAGTCACCTGAACCTGCAAAGGTGAGTATTAAAATATGTTTGTGTTTATGATGTAGTTTTGTGATGATATATTTTACCGCCCCAGTCTGAGTCGATCTGATTGAGTGGTTATTTATCCTGATGTTTCAAAAGATGATCATTTTCAACATGTGTTATTTGTTTTCTCATTCGATCAATTCATTTCAGGTTATCCTGCTGTGGTGTTAGCAAGCGTCGTCTATTTGCGAACGGCAAAGGTAAGCTTACGTGGCATGATGGTGCTAAACATATGCTTCGTAAATGATGAAATACGGAATTACCGTTTGAACCCAAGTGAAACAATTTCCATGGCTGCTTTTTATCTGAACTAATATCAGATAGCGTGTATCACAGGAATGTGTTGGTATAGCTTATAAGATTTGATTATTTGCAGGGTCACAACGCATCTGAATAGCTGGCAAGTGTGCGGTTCCTGATTCCGTGGAGCAGCGTTATCGAAAAAGGTTTGTACAACGTTTGTTGGGGCCTTTCCCCAGTGTTGCTCTGTGTGTTCAAAATGATGTTGCTTGTATTTGCTACTCTTGACGGTCGAATGACGACAGCATCCACAATTGCTGATCATATTTATATATTCCAGTTATATGATTCGCGCTACGGCTGGTGCATGACCGTGCTGCTTTCTTTTTCAGAGACGTTCTGCGGGCTAAGAGCGCTGTAAATGACATCTATAGGTAAGCTAGAGTTGGATTAAGCACCTCATGTTTGATACTTGACGAATTAAAGTGATGATTTTAGCATTCTGAGGTGGTACCTTGCTGACTTGCATTATTTTCTGACACACTCTTGTCTGACGTTAATTCAAATATACCTCGCGGGTATTTCCCAGGCTTGTTCTAATCATCTTGTCGCCCTTTCAGCGAGTATGGCGACAACCCCCTTCGCCCGGTGGTCTCGAGTGGAGCTTTGCTACATACAAGGTAAGCGCCTTTCACAGCAACTGTGTGAGGATGTTTTGTCATAGCTGCGTATTCAGTGATGATACTCCCTTGCTTACCATTCGCGGTTTCCACCCGAGATCCGTCTGTGAAGGCTTGGCGCGTCTGACAGATACACCAACATGACTGATAGGTAATGAAGGATTTCCTTTCATTGACGGCTTCTGTCCCTTCTGCAGGGTATCCGCGGCGTCCCCAAGCTCTACTTTGCTTCATCGCCTGCTATGTGGTAAGTAATGAATTGCTCGTCAAATTTAAATTTGAATTATGGTTATGCGCTTTTGTAATATTAGATCGATACTTGTTAATCATTGTAATGCACTCCTAAACGCGATTCTAATTTCATAATTGCATATTGCTAGCGCGGTAGTTGCGAACTTGTTTTCTCACGTGCCAACCTGGCGCTTTTCAGAACCGGAGAAGGTGCACGTACTGTCCGCTACCCCCCTTTCTGCTCTCGTATGCAATCGCTGCTCTCGGAAGCTCAAATTAAACTTCGGGGGGTCATGCGTAAGGAGTGGCCATCTGTCCCACCGTGGAGACAAGTCCCGCCAAAGGTGGACCTTTCCCTCACCGATGTGAGAAAAGGCGACATCCCTCCAGCTGTTTTAAAGGCTCGTGCGCTGGAACATATTTCAAGGTACTCTGACTACATAGCCTGTTATACTGACGGCTCAAAGACTGATGACGGTGCCGGGTGTGCTTTCGTCTGCGGCGACGCTGTGCGGTGTTTTACCTTACCTAAACATGCATCCGTTTTTTCCTGCGAATTGGTCGCTATCCTCAAATTCCTGTGTTTTATCGAGATTAATCCCGCTCGGTCATATGTTATTCTTTCTGACTCATTGAGTGGTCTCCAGTCCTTGTCACAATTCTATCCTTCTGACCCCCTCGCACAGGAGATTCTTCTTCGTGTGACAGCCCTCGACCGAGAGGGTACGTCGGTGTCTTTTTGCTGGATCCCTAGCCACGTCGGTATTCACGGCAACGAACGGGCGGACCGAGCTGCGAACCATGCTGCGCAGTATCCGTGCTCCCGCCGATTCCCTCTACCCGCCAGGGACTTTGTACCGGCGGTGGGCTCTTTCCTCCTCGGAAAGTGGCAGGAGGCCTGGAGCCAATCCCACGGTAACAAACTTTTACGTATCAAGCCAGGTTTAGCTACCTGGTTGTCGGCCTCACGCAGATCGCGACGCGAGGAGGTGGTCCTCTGCCGGCTTCGTACCGGGCACACTTATGGCACCCATGGGTTCCTTATCGGCGTTGGCTCCAGGCCTATTTGTACCAGATGTGGTGACCGACTTTCGGTCCGACACGTCTTGGTCGAGTGCCCGAGACTGGACGCTGAGCGATTGCGGTTTTTTGGATTGCGTGGCCCCCAGCTCTCTTTGAGAACACTTCTCCGCGACGACTCCCCTTTTCTCGATTCCTTTCGCCTCTTTTCGTTCATCACGGCCTCCGGGCTTCAGGTGATTTTTAACCCCCGACTTTGAGGAAGATTGGTTAGATATGGGCGCCATATAGCCTCGTTGCTGGTGCGCCCTAAAACACCAAATCATCATCATCATCAATCTGAGCGCAATGCTCCCGAATCTGTTCATATGTTGCACCCCGCCTTATTAAGCCGGCTGGTTTCGGCGAACCGTTACCGGGCCAGCATGCTAAAGACGGGAACAGCACCCAGTCCCCGATCACTTGCTTGGCGGCGATCGGTCAGCTCGGTCGGCCGCCAAAGTACTGGTCGGCACAGCGGGATCCGGTCCGCGCAGGCTGAATTATAACTGATGGAATGTGGAAGGATGGTTAGTTGGTGGCTGTGGTGAGTACCGTAAATTGACAAATTTGTTTTCTGTTTTAGCGTTGGCGCTTCTGATGAAGATTTACCAGTCTGCCCTGGGATCGGCTAACGTCGAGATTGAAGGATTCATCTGCTTGGTAAATGGTAAGTGTTTGGTCCCCTGTATGAGTTCATGTTTATTTGTTCTCAATATGTCACTTTTCTGACGTGATGAATTCGTATACCGCCCCAGTCTGAGCTAATATGACTGAATGGTTTGTTAATCTGATAATGTTGACCTAACTTAAATAACTGGTTGCTTAGGTGTTCCGCTAACGGTAATTTTTCTTTCATTGTAGGTGTCTGCAAGTCTGCTAGATCACGATTCATGCCCCAACGTGAGCGGAATGGTAAGTTTGCATCTCTGCTTGGGGTTTCGTTTTTGTTTTTGAGTAAGACCAACCGATGCGCGCGGACTGTCCTTCGCCGGTCCGCGCCGTGGCCCCGGAGCTGTCTATCCAATGCAGTATGTTCCCCGCCACAGCATCGAACAGCAACTCTGTCCCCGGGCCGGGGCCGGTCCCCGACCCGGCGTGGGCAGTCGGTACGCATTCTCCAGTGTCTCGCTGTAGTGGCGCCGCCACCAGGACAGTCGAGAAAGACCATGCGGGCCACAAACCATCAATTTTACAGCGCATTGTCGCGCCAAATTATGTCAACATGCAGTTAATCTTTGTTTATGTTTTTGCTGCAAGTGTTGTGTATTTTATTTGCTCCCGCGCCGTTTCTGTAATGGTATGTGTGCTTATATTTCGTGATCGTTTTCCCGTCTAACATAATTTTAATTGTTTTCGCAGGTTCTAGTGCCAATGTGCGTTCTTCTGTCTGCACAAGGTGCGTAGAACGTGTAGATATCGAAGCTTCTGCTAAAAGTCCTCGCACGCTTCATCTATTTTCGGTGTCGACTCCTTTTTGAAATGATGTTTATTGTATTTGCTACGTATGACTGGTTGCATGACTATTTCATCCACAACTCTGAATCCTTGGGACTTATTCTAAAAGCTAACTCGTATCTTTTTCATCCATGACGTAAAACATTCTTTGCAGAAGCCGATTCGGTGAAGCGAGTCTATGGAAACTCGTCACAGTGCACATTAGATGGTGAGTTTAATATCCTGACTTCGCTCTGTTTCTGGCCTTGATGATGAAATACGGAATTACCGTTTGAACAGTAATGAAACCATTTCCATGGCTGCTTTTTATCTGACCATTGTTTGTTTTATTATAATTGTGCTCGATTTTTACGTGTGGTTTAAGATTATTCGCGCCCTTTTCTAGGTCCCTCAGAAGTATGAAGTAGATTCGAGAATGACATCCTCACAAGTCGCTGGGACGCTTACAGCAGACTTAAGGTCAGTATTATACGGTATTGCTTTGACTTTCATCAGCATTGTGATGAAAATTTTGTGGGAATCTCTTTGAATTCACCTGAAAACACCATAAACAATTCTGAATTTTTGAGCTCATGAACTTTTGAGTGTTTCATCTGTAATTATTTTAATAACGTTTTCTCTGCACCTTTTCAGCGTGTCCGACATCGGCTCTGGCGGAATCTGAAACAGTGTCCCCACGCAGGTGACTACTTTGTATATTGTTTTTACTCTTTGCAACTGTTTTATATGTTCCGCCGTCCATTACAATGAGATTTCAGCTCAGAAACATTCGCGGTTTCCACCCGAGGTCCCCCGGGGCCTCTGAGGGCCCGGCACGTCTGATATACTCGGCAATTTACCCCGCGCGACCGACGCGAACTTCCCCATCTCACAGACTTTCGTTTGTCGTGTCACAGGTGGATATGCAGAGCGGACTGTGGCACCGCGCTTGCGCAGCTGGCAGAGGCGAAACGATTGGCCCGTAGACTAGGTGAGTTGAGGCGTCATTGTAGTGCTGATGATGAGTGAGGATGCTGTTTTAGTTGAAAAGGGGAATAGTCTTGTGTTTAGGACACTTACAGTAATACATTTATTGTAATACACATGTCTGTGTATTATGGGTCTGTAATACACAGACTTACACTTACAGTATTTGCCGGTACCTGTGCGGCGCGCCATCTTGTGGGCCTTCCAGAGTCTGTCAAATTCCCGTCCGGCGGCTCTGTGGCCGGCCGGGGCCAACGCTCTGGAACAGCACCATATTCCGGACTGTTCCACTCTGGGGTCCCTGCTGCGTCGGACCGCCAGAACTAAGACTTCCGGACACTAGTCTAATTGAACGTGCAATGTGCGTGGTGCATCGAAGCGACCTGCCACGTGTCATGTGCATCCAGATGATCCCTAGTGATCGCAACAGTAGCAAGATATTTGAAGTTTTTTTTCGTTTCAGGTTGTTGTTACGGCAAATGTTCGCCTACCCGTTTTGATGGAAGACTGGATCATAAATGCCTGGTAAGTGTGTCTCAGCTGTAGGTGTAATGTGCTAGGCACAATCTGTCATGAAATTGAAAGCGACATCTGCGAATTCTTTTGCATGCGTTTTTTTTCGTTGTTAGGTCAGATTCTCACCACATTGATGGTGTTAACTGCTGGTAAAATTAGCACCGTCATTTGATCACGTGTCGCTGTGTACGACCAAGGCCATTTCCCCGCCCGGCTGTGTCTGTGGCCGGGTGGATGAATACCTTGGGAGAGAGACGTGCGGACTGTGTCGCCGCCGGGGCAGTTCACCTCAGACCCGGTGGACAGGCGCTGTTCGCTACAGTCGACGTGTAGAGGCCCAGTTACGTGTGCCTGGTAACTCGGCTGTTATTGATAATCTTTTTTCTTTTGTTGCAGTAATATGTGTCAAAACACAAGTTGCGGAGACAGTCTGAGAATATGTCGTTTTCTCTAGACCATCATGCAGTACTTCAACCTGCAGTAACCAGGTATGTATTTGCTTTGTCAATTGCGTGGGAAGAGCAGTGCCGCTTACGAGAATTGTTACAATTAATGATGAAATACGGAATTACCGTTTGATCAATCTTGAAACAATTTCCATGGCTGCTTTTTATCTGAACATTAAGCGCATCAGTCTCTTGCGTCCGGTTAATATTCTTCGACTGATGGCTTGTTTTATTTTTCAGCTCATTGAACCCGCGATATGATAATGCAAGCCAGGCCCTCCCGTCTTCTAACAGGTAAATAAGCATGCTGTCAGCTGTGGTTCATTTCGTTTATTTTATCGCCCCGATCGTGGGTGCATTCGTCCCCATTGATCAACGGACTAAGTACGATCATACTTTGTTTGCAGTGTTCCTATGTGACTAGCATCGTGCGTCACTTGTTGTACCCAACTGTCGTCCCGTATATCTACATCCTCGGAGTGTCAGTCTGTGGTTTGTCACGTGCCGGGATGACGACAAAGGCCGAGTTTGAGGCGGTGTCGGCCGGCCGGTTCGAGCTGCCACCGGCAACTCCTGGCCGGCCGCCCGTCAATGAGCACTCGAGAAGCTTTGATCTTAACTGACCGGCCTACACTATTTCGATCCGAGGGAGGGAGGGGGTCCGTCGCAGGTGCACCCGCTGAATGGGTTGTTGCTGTCTTGACAGGTGTCTTCACTACGGTCGCAACTGCGCTATGGATTGCTTGCCAACGATACTGAAGGTTCCGCCTGAAGAAGTTGCAGACCCCCTGCTCTGCGACTCTGGAAATGGTACGTAGGTGTTTTCTTACTGAAGAATGACTTACATTTTCATGTGATGATAAAAACACGGATCCATTTACCGACAGTTCTGTGGAGATTCTTTAATTTGACCTGATTTTATACGTCTAATCCCTTGTTTGACGGGTCTGTGTCATCTCGTGACGATTAAAATGCCCGTTCACAGGTTGCTTCCAACAATCAACATAAATGCGGCTCTGGTCGTTTGCATTATTCCATAGCTGCCTTCTTCGTCGTTGGAGCTCGTCGTGTAAGTTTTCTGATATTCCATACGCTGTTTTTGTTTTCACCAGTTGCCAAACCACAGCCGGGCTGTACTGTGGCCCGCCTGGCCAGGTGCGCTGGAACAGTGACCGTGGTGCCCTAACCTCCCCGCCGGTCTGCCACAGACGCGAGTGGGACTTGTGGACCCATACAATAAATCTCGAGAGAAATTCTACCGCAGTGACCGAGATCGTTTAGTGGTAGTGGAATCACATAATCAGAACGGGGGCTCACTCAGCATGCAGAAGGAAAAGCAAACCTCGTTTGGAAGTTAGAATCCCTGAATACGTTTCATTTCACTTTCGTACTGACAAGCGAATTGCTTGGGAAATTTTTCTGCTCTGCATTTTGTGTTCACATAGATTGGGATAAATCCTGTCAATCACCTGATATTTATTTTGTTCTAAAAAGTCCTTTGCTCATGCTTATGCCCACAGGTCCCGGCGTCGTCCATTCGACTCCTCGCGGCCTTCGTCGGCACTGCCACCATCATCAAACACAGTGAGTTCATCATGCCTGTTCATGGGTGTCCGCGTCTAACTGCACTACAATGATGAGATTTCAGCTCAGAAACATTCGCGGTTTCCACCCGAGGTCCCCCGGGACTTCTGAGGGCCCGGCACGTCTGATAATATCGGCGTTTTAGCAATTGTGCCTCCTGTGTCGACCTCAGTGGCTGATCAGTTGCTTTATTGTTTGCAGAAGCAGCAAATAGTGGTGGAAAGAACCCGCGAAGTTGCTCTAGGTTTTGGGGGTGCAGCACCTATGGTGCTACAGCACAAAAAGTTCTCTGAAAAGGTAAGCATATTCCTTCCCTCGATGGGAAACTGTCAAACTGTCTGAATAGCTGGCCTTAGTTTAAATAGGTAAGATGTCGATCTTTCGAGTTTGCGTAGTGATACGTTAGAGCAGCCTCTTTTACACAGTAATTCACTCTCAATGATGATTGTTCATTTCACAGACCTGTTCTGAGTGACCGGTGCTGAGTCTAGAACGGCCATCTGAAGTTGTGTCCGCGACCTACAGCCGATGCTGCAGAGGTCTAGCGTCTGATTGTGAATTTTTTGTGTCCACAGTGCTAGCGGCTTGGTAGTGTGTACTGCGGCCCACAAACGAAAGGAAACTCGGCTGAAAGAGGTATGTTTTCTTGAAATTACGCATTCTGAGAATACATTTTAAAAACAAAGACCGATGCGCGCGGACTGTCCTTCGCCGGTCCGCGCCGTGGCCCAGGAGCTGTCTATCCAATGCAGTATGTTCCCCGCCACAGCATCGAACAGCAACTCTGTCCCCGGGCCGGGGCCGGTCCCCGACCCGGCGTGGGCAGTCGGTACGCATTCTCCAGTGTCTCGCTGTAGTGGCACCGCCACCAGGACAGTCGAGAAAGACCATGCGGGCCACAAACCAACTTCATTTAACGTCATAGACCCGGAAAGCTTAGTGTGTCTTGTGGGTTATGACCCTCAGCATGAGAGTGACTGTTAAAGGGGAAAATACTCTGGTATCATTGGAATAAGTGTAAAAGGGGCATTTCCAACGCCCTATGTGGCGCAGAGGCACGTCGCGATTTGTTCACATGTGCATGTCAGGTTCTGATCAGTGATTTGCACTTTCACAGGATCAGGAAACCAGCGTTGCTGCCCTCGTCCGTGCTAACAAGTGCATGGTAAGTTGATCGTGTCACTTCTTCGTCCTTTACTGCACTACAATGATGAGATTTCAGCTCAGAAACACTCGCGGTTTCCACCCGAGGTCCCTCGGGGCCTCTGAGGGCCCGGCACGTCTGATACATTCAGTCTCCTCCATTTTGCCTCCTGTGCGTGTAATAGGCGCTGATATCTTGGTCTCTTTGTTTTCAGTAACCGCAGAGGGTCCCTGACCAAAAACCACGCATCTAAAGGCTTCTGGGGAACTTTAAACGGCACGCGTTCTTCGAATGAAAGGTAAATGCAAGGAAGATGGGATGCGATTACTGCAGTATCTGTTTTTCATCTAGCTCCAGTAGGAGTGTCATTGTCTTTGTGTGTCTCCTTTGCTTTGCTTGTACGCTACTTTGGTGCGCCCTCAGCGATATTTATCCTTTCTCACTGATGATTTATCTCTCACAGACCTGTTCTGAGTAGCCGGTGCTGAGCTATGATAGGCCATCTGATGTCAATTTGTCTGCCGCCTGCGGTCGTCTGTCACAGGTTCCAGTGGCTGACCGCGACTCGTTTTTGTCTACAGTTGTTGGTGTCTGGCGGAGTATGGCCACATCCCAGCTTCTGTGCCCTAGCCTCCGGAATGAAATTCCACATGACTGAATTCCTAGGTAAGGAAGTAATCTATGGGGTTGGAGTGTTTGCTGTTTTTCAATGATGATATTTGATCCGCTGACCGAATTTAAATGTGGAATTTACTTTTCTGAGCTATTTTAGTGGTGACCTAATTTTGTTTCCCTTTTTCCACGTTTAACCCAGTTGTTCTCGCTTTCTTCCAGGTCTCAAACCCTAGTCTGCACAGCCTTCATAGCTCTACGCGCATTCGTTCATCGTTTGACTATTGGTGAGTGTCGATAATGTCTGTCCCCTATTGCTGAATTGTTACCATATCAAATGATGCATTCTTGTGCCTCGATTTTCCATGAGAGCTCACTAATTGTCACTACCACTGATCGTGTCGTTTGCTTTCAATCGTCGCATAGCTGCCATGGTTTTGTTTTAACCAGGGTTTCTTTTTGCTCAGGCGAATTCCCGATAGGTCGTGTTTGAAGAACCAAGAAAGTGATGTCCGGTTCCAAAATACCCAGGTAAACCCAAAACACCTCGGCTGTGTAACATGATGTTAGCGTGACTCGCCTCTTATTTGACCAATGCAATTAAGTGTTTGTTCTGTTCGACAGCAATGATGGTTCTTTCACATTCTCTGATCATAATTGATGACTCATCCATCTGAGCACTTAGCTGCTGGCGCTTCTCTCCCGCCTGCGCTTCTGTTGCTTTACGCCGACCCCCTCTCTTTGGCAGCTGTTGCATCTGAGCTGAGAACTTCTTGGAACTTCTTCGCTGTGTCTGTGATAACTGATGAGCCACGGTGAGTTACACTAGTCGGTTAAAGTAAATGCTATAATTCGTTATAGTATTCATTATTAAGTAATATAGTCGGCCTTTTATGAATGTTATTATTACGTTCATGCATTTTCCTTGTTGGCAATTATATTTATGCATGCCTGGCAGCAGACTGGTAGTTTTTTACACCAGAATGTCTCAGTACTTCAAGCTGATGCCCTCATATCACCAGCCGTCTTAGTTCAGTCTCCTCTGATGATACTCTCACCTCTGAATCACCGTGTGGTGCAACACATTCGACTTGGCTGAGCGTGCCCGATGCCCCGCAACTGGCCCGTACATGGGACGCGTCCTATAAGCGCTGTGTTCGTGTGTTACAGGGGATGACTCGCCGGTCGGAACTGCGAGGTGCCACCCGCCGGGTCTTCCGGCGCCGTGACGCCGCGTCGTGGAAACAATCCGTGGTGTGATCGGCATTGTATGGTGTATGCTTGATTACAAGGACGCGTGTATTTCGAGTCGAGAACGTTGTCTAATAAATGGCAGTCTGTTGATAAAATGGATTTCGATGCAGTTTTACACGTGGCAGGACAAAATCGACAAGATATGAATTGGAATACGTGCGGGAAACCGGCTATTCAGTAGGTCCAACTTTTGCATGTCAATATTTACACACTGCACGCTGGGCCGGCGGGCCGGAAAAGCGCTAGAAATACCCCCAAGAGTGACTTTCCACAATATGAACAAAATATGTATCATTCAATCCCAAATTGATCAAAGCATACGATTCTGATGCCATTTTTGCCCTAAGGTCGAAATTGAGGTGGTCAGTTGTCACCAAACACAACACTATTTAGACTCGCTAGTGGCCACCACATTTGCCGTTTTTAATGCCAATCTTTAGTTGATATTTATTAGTTGACCAGTTGTCGTTTTGAACGCAATTTTCTGTCAGACTAGTTCAGGGCACTGTTGTTCACTGTACCAACAACATTCTTACATATTGCATCGCTTTTCTGCAAGATAAGCTAGCTTTTTGCAAGCAGCTGCAAGACCTAAATAAAAATCATATCTAAATTTTTAAATAGACTTTTATAAAAACGTTATTTCGAGCGGCTAAAAATGAACATCTTATATTAGCCTCTGATTACTGATCTTTCGTTCCATATAGGTGCTTTGCTGCTTTTCCCTGCTACTTTTCGAGGTATGCGCCAGTAAACCACAAGATGTAGGGGCAATTGTCACCTCGCCGCTCTACTGACGGCCCGGCGCTCTTTAAAGCGCTGAAATTTATGAAAAACGAATGCTTATCATCTGAATAAAATATATGTCCCTGAGCTCAGAATTGATCAACGCACACAATGCTGTCAAAATTTTTGGGCCAAAGTCAATAATTAAGTCATTATGAACCCCCAAACACAAGTCAGTGATAATCAATAACAGCTTGCTCTTTAGTTAGACTTTTTGGGAAATGTTATTTCGAGCCGCTAAAGATGAGCATGTCATGTAAACAACTAGTCAATTGTCTGCCATGCCCTAATGACGATTATTGCCTATTACTGCTACTTTTCGAGACATCGTCTGCTAAGTCACCTGATATAACTGCTATGCCACCCTACCGCTCGGGATCGCACGGTGCCTGCTGTGACCTGACCGGGCAGCAAAGCATTCCCAACTTACGTAACGATACAGGTGTCAGGTACTTACTGGAAGGTAGCGCTCAGTTCATGCTAAGTTAAGGTGCTGTCCTGTAACAGATAAACATGTATGTACATGTATAGTGATCTCACGGTGAGATAACTTTGTCCAAATATTTAACATTAAAATATTTGAACATGAAGATGTTAAATATTTGGACAAACAGTTATCTCACCGTGAGATCACTATACATGTACATAATGTTTATCTGTTACAGGACGGCACTTTAACATAGTATGAACTGAGCGCTACCTTCCAGTAAGTACCTGTGCCCGGTCAGGTCACAGCAGGCGCCGTGCGATCCCGAGCGGTAGGGTGGCATAGCAGCTATATCAGGTGACTTAGCAGACGATATCTCGAAAAGTAGCAGTAATAGGCAATAATCGTCAATAGGGCATGGCAGACAATTGACTAGTTGTTTACATGACATGCTCATCTTTAGCGGCTCGAAATAACATTTCCCAAAAAGTCTAACTAAAGAGCAAGCTGTTATTGATTATCACTGACTTGTGTTTGGGGGTTCATAATGACTTAATTATTGGCTTTGGCCCAAAAATTTTGACAGCATTGTGTGCGTTGATCAATTCTGAGCTCAGGGACATATATTTTATTCAGATGATAAGCATTCGTTTTTCATAAATTTCAGCGCTTTAAAGAGCGCCGGGCCGTCAGTAGAGCGGCGAGGTGACAATTGCCCCTACATCATGTGGTTTACTGGCGCATATCTCGAAAAGTAGCAGGGAAAAGCAGCAAAGCACCTATATGGAACGAAAGATCAGTAATCAGAGGCTAGTATAAGATGTTCATTTTTAGCCGCTCGAAATAACGTTTTTATAAAAGTCTATTTAAAAATTTAGATATGATTTTTATTTAGGTCTTGCAGGTGCTTGCAAAAAGCTAGCTTATCTTGCAGAAAAGCGATGCAATATGTAAGAATGTTGTTGGTACAGTGAACAACAGTGCCCTGAACTAGTCTGACAGAAAATTGCGTTCAAAACGACAACTGGTCAACTAATAAATATCAGCTAAAGATTGGCATTAAAATCGGCAAATGTGGTGGCCACTAGCGAGTCTAAATAGTGTTGTGTTTGGTGACAACTGACCACCTCAATTTCGACCTTAGGGCAAAAATGGCATCAGAATCGTATGCTTTGATCAATTTGGGATTGAATGATACATATTTTGTTCATATTGTGAAAAGTCACTCTTGGGGGTATTTTTAGCGCTTTTCCGGCCCGCCGGCCCAGCGTGCACTGGTCGGGATTGCGCTGAAATCTACTATGATTGAGTTCATTTACACAATTATGTCTTGATGCGTACGTTACGTCGGGAGTAGTTATGTCGTGATTTGATCGGGAAGGGTGGTGCGGAGTAGTTCTCACGTGACTTAACCCGCGCCAAGTGACGTCCAACGTCGTCGCTGAGGTAGCTTCAGAGTCCGGCGGACCTCTCTCGGGGATGATTGCGTCGCCGAATAGCGTGTGTAGGCTATCATACACATTACACAGGCTCTGCAGTGCCGCGGGCGATGTGGCGACGGCCCGCTGCACCGCGACAGGTCACTTATAGACGGCCGAGCGGTAGTGCGCTGACAATGCACCCGGGCTATAAGGAGAGGGACTGCAGAATTACCGCAGTCAGTTGTGTGTGAACGGCGTTTGAGGCAGCTGAAATAGGCGAACACCAAATATATTTAAACAGAGGACACTATGAAACATCAACACTACTTGAACCGACTGGTTCCAGTAATATTTGTGAATATTGGACAATCACAAATGTGTGCACTACTGCATTGATGTAACGCAATGTCATCAAACCTACTATAATGCCTGTCTGGCATCGTAAAATTGTTCAAAGTATAGTCTACAATCAGTCAGCATTCGCATTGTTACAATAAGTTGATTGACGGGCATGCAATATAAAATCACAAAAAGCTCGTAACAACCGTATTCCCGCCTGCAGAGTTGCGCATACATCAGCTGATCGCCGAGCACCTCTCGCTGTTTCCTCAGTTTACGCGGCGCCACAAATCCCTTACACCGCCCGGCGCCCGCATCTGTGTCGGTAGTCGTGTGTGTGCCGCCGGGTGACGTGTTGGCTCATGTGCGACTGCTGCACGAACCGTGCCGAGCAGGAGCACCCGTACGGCCGCTCACCAGTTTGAGTCCGCATGTGTGTGGACTGTGGTGAGGTCCGGCCGCAGGGGCGTAGGAACGGCTGGAACATTGTGGGTGCATGGGTGCAGAAATCCAGCCATGGCCGGTGAAGCGGGGGGGGGGGGGGCGGGGATAGGGAGCGGCACCCGAGCGGAGGCTCATTGCGAGCTTTGAGGGTGTAGAAAAGGTACAGAGAAGTGCATTTGGAAGTAATGTCAATATTGACTACCGCAAAAAGTAAAAGCGGCTAATTTAGTCATTTTTGAAGATATCGGGCTAAAACTTTTGCCAGTGGGTCATCGGTATGTATTCAATCACATTCACATGTGCTCCATTTCTTCTTTTTTAACTTAGCACAAATGCAACTTTTGAAGGCCATCACAGTAGCTAGCAAATGCTTCAAAAGATGGATAGTGGGCAAACTATCCTGAATTTGTGGTGCTGCAGGGGAACTGGAAGAAGTGTTAATGAGAAATGGGTTTTTGTTCCAGATTATTGTGGGTGCAGAATACATAGTCTGCACCCACTGGAAAATTATTGTGGCACTGCAGTCTGCACCCATGGTTCCTACGCTTATGTCCGGCCGTGTAACAAACCGGGCCGAGCACACCTGGCACCGGTGCGGCTTCACTCCGCTGTGAGACTGCAAATATGTCTGACTTTCGCGGGAGTTTCGCCTTTCAACGTCCTAGACTTCCGAGCTTATGTAAAGCAGCGACTTTTGTCATTGTGTAGTTATTTTTGGTTTCTTGTATCCCAAATTGTAAATTTTTGAACTTTTTTGGTTGAATAATGTAGCTTTTGATCAGAAAAATCGGATGTTGTTTGTCCCACTGTTGGGCGATTCAGTCAGAGGCGGATCCAGCTCAGAGTTTTTTTTTTGGGGGGGGGGGCAAACCATAACAATTTATCGATTCTTTCCATGCCTCAGCCTCGTCCATAGGCGTAATGTTAAAATTATGCCGTTTGGGAGGGGAAAATGCCCATTTTGCCCCCCCCCCCCTGGATCCGCCACTGGCGGTCCTCGAGATATAATGGTGTGCCAAACCACCCTTAACTACTCACCTGCATTAATCCTCCTAAAATGATTGTGGGTGCCCAGCTGTAGGGGTGCTAGGTCGTTTTGGGGCGCATCTATGTGGGAGCCTAAATTAACACCGAATTTGATAACATTGCTAGCCGAAGGGCGCTTCAGCCTTCAAGTGACATGTCTGACTATGCAAAAACACGGTTAAAAGTGTAAAGTGACCGGAAGGGCGTAACAAAGGGACTATACCCCAAAACCTTTATGAGGGCATCAGCTTGAAGAATATCTCGGTACTTCAAGCTGATGCCCTCATATCACCAGCCGTCGTAATCCAGTCTCCTCTGATTATACTCTCACCTCTGAACCACCGTGTGGTGCAACACATTCGACTTGGCTGAGCGTGCCCGATGCCCCGCAACTGGCCCGTACAGGGAGACGCGTCCCATAAGCGCTGTGCTCGTATGTTGCAGGGTAACTCGCCGGTCGGAGGTGCCACAGGCCACCCGCCGGGTCTTCCGGCGCTGGGTGAGACGCCTCGTCGTGGAAACGATTCGTGGTGTAATCGGCATTGTATGGTGTATGCTTTATTGCGAGAACGCGTGTATTTCGAGTCGAGAACGTTGTCTAATAAATGGCAGTCTGTTGATAAAATGGATTTCGATGTAGATGTACACGTAGCAGG